GTAATCTCGAAAGCTCGTCAATTAAGCTTTAAACACCCTTAATTCTATAGGTCTACCTTGACTTTGTTTTTATCTACACGAGTGTTCGTGTGTGACTTTACTTCTATACGTATATATATGTATCTATATGTATCTATATGTGCTCATATGTATCTATATATGTATCTATACGTATCTATATATGTATCTATACGTATCTATATGTATTTATGTGTGACTATATGTATCTATATATAGCGATATATACTTATATTTAAATGTTTCTATACGTACTTATATGCACCTATATATATGTACCCATGTGTGCCTATATGTATTCATGTGTGCCTATATGTACCTATATAATATGTACCCGTATCTATATGTACCCATATGTACCTATATATGCCTATCTGTATATATATATATATATATATACATATATATATATATATATATATCCACACAATATGAATATATATATGTAACTTAATGTATCCATATGTATATATGTATCTATATGTACCTATATATACGTAGTTATATGTACCTATATGTATCTATATGTGCATATATATACGTAGTTATATGTACCTATATGTATCTATATGTGCATATATATACGTAGCTATATGTACCTAAATGCGTCTAAATGTGGCTATATGTATGTATATGTTCCTACACGTATCTCGATATATCTCTATGTATCTACTACACCGTTCGTCGCTCGTCCCACGAACATACGTGGAACACCGAAGCGACTCGCCGATGACGACAGACGCGGCGTGACGTCACGATTTCATGGTCCTTGCTCGGCGGTATTTAAGGTGGAGCTTGCCGACACGCGCCACCAGATTAGGCAGACGATACACAACAGTGCAGTGGGTGTGCGCGCGCGCACTGCGACCATGTCCGAAAAGCATGTGCTCTTTCGTACGCTAGCTGCGATATGGATACTTCTAGGAATCACCGCCGATTGTAAGTGTACACACTCTCTCTCTCCCTCTCTCTGTCGCTCTCTGTTTATGCTATAGTTAATTAATCCTGCGTTAATTACATAGGCAATTAACGATGTCGTCGTTAGCGAGTGTTGGTAACATTTCGCTTTTTTCCGCAGCGTGGTGCGACTTCTATCGTCCACGATAATATATAGTTACCTCGATCGATCTGTAGGGCCCGATGGGCCAGTCATACATCATACATACATCATACATCATATGTCAGCTTACATCATACGTTCTAGAAATATATTCTCGAGCACTTGATGAAATCAGAATGTAAATTAAATCCATTTGGTGGATTAAAGAACCAGAATCCATATCGATATGTTATGATAGCGGTCAGCATTTATATATTAGTATTTATAGATTATAGTATATATTTAAGCGGATTCCTCCGCCTCTGTGACAGGCAAGTAGGTGTTAAATACACACTTGACTACAAAAGACCTAACTGAAAGTTTATTAGAAAAAGCAAACAGACATAACTTTCGCTGGAGTGGCGCGTGCCAGCTAGCAAAACTCTGAAATACTGTTAGTAGTCGAACAGTATCGGCCGGCTATCAACTCGATTCTCTCGCATCACGAACATTGCTTACAAACATTGATAAATATATCTTAACAAGTCTGCTTAGCAATGTCGAACGTAATTTATCTCGAAAAAAAGACAATAGGAGGCGTTGCCTTGCTCGCGTTCGCTCGGTAGCGTGGTTCATGGCCGAGCGGACCAGAAGCTTTTATCTACAGTCAAACAGCGGGGTTATAACGCTTGTCTGTCTACACACACACCGCACAGCAGCAGCCTTGGCGGAGACGAGGATGTATGGCGCGTACAACAAACGCGCATTGTTTTACCGGCGAGCCTTGCGAAAGTGATTGACAAACACAAAGGTTGGGCCATCGGTATAGCATGCGTACACGTCTCTCTCTCTCTCTCTCTGCCCACGCTGAATCCGGAGCTATCAAACCTTTGTGTCGTGCACACGTAATAATGAGAGTGTGCTTTGCATGCGTTTGGCCATGGGTTGGTCTTTAAGTCGCAAAGGGCGGGATGAATAGCAGCAGAAACGGTATACACAAAGACGTAATATCAATATCAGAAAGGAGAGACACGATTGGGCGTGGAGCTCCCGTAAAGAAGGATGACCGGCTTGGAGAATGCATGATGATGCATTAATAATTGTAATGCTTAACGTGTACATATACATACCCATAAACACGCACGTACACGCGCACGCACGCGCAAACCCACGCACGAACCAACGCATGCGTATTCACGCGCTCGTCCCATATTCGGAAACAGTTAAGGAATAATTCAACCCTTTATTGCATAACATCCTGTCGACTCGCATCATCATTATTAAAATTAAATTGCTGTACGATTATCTGATAGTTGCTCGCCCAGGCGATGCGCCACGTATGTCTAACTGCTGTTACATATACCTACACACACACACACACACACACACACACACACACACACACACACACACACACACACACACACACACACACACACACACACACACACACACACACACACACACACACACACACACACACACACACACACACACACACACACACACACACACACACACACACACACACACCTCTCATCAAGCCTGCCCATACCAGAGAGAGTCACTAGAACATGTCAAAAGTACCCAAATCTTTTAGAACATCACGCTCACCATATGCATCTCCGTTGCGATCCTAGCATATTTTTTTTATAAATTGTGGGAGCCGCCCGCATAAACCCCCCTACATGTTTCGTACTCCTCCTTGAAATCCTGGATCCGAACTGCCGCGCTCCTCCTTAGGATATCTGCTCAGCCTTACCGCACCATCTTGTTGGCTGTATATATCTTACCTACCCTATACTATCCTATCTCAACTCCGCATTACTTCTTACAATATTCTCTCTATCTCTCAAGAGTGATGATGAGCGAGGGAATTAGTATTGTTAGTGTTTAAATTGACATCGCTAAGCCAAAACGCTGTTGCCGAAGCATGCGCATTCTCGAGGTGTAGTGCATCGGCTCAAAAAAGCAGTACAATATATGCCGTTCTTAACACATACTACGCTGCACGACGTCTGCCCCATTCACGTATTACTTAATACGCCTTTCGGGGCACGAGAACTGAGCTCAGTTACACCAAACTATGAGGAATCCCAAGCGGATAGGATTGAATACCTACAATAACATAACCACAATCTTGGTCGATTTATAAATATTGCTTTGACTCCATATTCAATATTATAATATTAATTAGTACTCAGGTAACTCGTTAATTCGATCCGCAAATATTTGGAATCACATCTATAGACGACAGAAGATGGGTCATGAGTCGACATTGCTCAATCTACGACGGCATAAATGCAAGCGATATTCAATATAGTGTAAAGAAGCAGAATTTAGTCAATACTAGTCCTTGAAAAAATTACCATAATATAAGGGCCTAAGACTACCACGATTTAGTCGATTCGATCCTGTAAACGGTGTTCGACTCGCCAACCGAACGACCATCTATTAACGGTAAATGATTGTAAGCAAGGCCAAGACCGGTCACGATCTTAATAACATAGTCGAGATTAATTTATTGTGCCTTTATTGTGCTTGCAAAAATCGATATTGATAGGTTAGCGCGGGGCTAAGTTAGTATTGTTTCGGCGGTCGCCGGCTAAAAGCTTCTGGCTTCTATAGATATCAGGCTTGCCGCCTTGGTGTGAGGCGGGTGCTCTATAATTCTAGTGCGGGGACACAATGCGTATAAAGTCGGTCGTGTGAGTCAATGGCATCACGCTGACAAGATCACGTCTGAACGCTCACGAAATGGCTAATACGTTCACTCGCAGGCGCCTATCTATTATTAGACTTGTTAGGTTTTGCGATGCATCTCGTTGGTTGCAGTGGCCTCCGGGGTGTTGGCCCGGGCAGTCATGCCCTGGCCGGACAAGCCAGGGTGGCTCTCTTGTAGATTGGTTCCCTGCTCCGCTCTTTCCTGCTCTCCCGTCGTTATCGTTATCAGCGCGTTGCCGTGCGGTGAGCCGCCGATTGCTCGAGCGAGTGCTCTGATTCGCTCGGCGTGAACATTCTCTCGCGTCGATCAGTTCGTCACGTGTCGCCCTCCTCGCGATCGTTACGCGTTCTTCTCAGCATCCAATCAGCAGCCGCTTGTCTCGATCTCTCGTTCTCCCCCATCGGCTTTTTCTACCTCCTGTTGCTCACCGCCTCTCATTGCTATCTCTCCCCCCCCCTCATCGTCTCTCCGTGCTCCCTCCACGCTCTTATCTTTCCTCTCTCCTTGCGCTCGCCATCATCTTTCTCTATTATTATACACTGCGGCTATCGATCCTATCGTCCTTCATTCTCCCTCCAGCACTATTCTCCACAGTCCATATCTCTTTTCTCATTCCTCTAGCCACCCCTTTTCGTGCTGCCCGTTGTGACCTCTTCGTTAGCCCCGTGCAACCTAGAGATTTTGTTTTGCGATGCTGCGTCGTTGAGCTGTACCGTGTCGGGTCAGGATCCCGGCTCGTTCGCCCCCGGCCCCGCCGCCGCCGCTCACATACTCCCGTGCCTTCTTCACTTCCTTCCCTGTCCTTCCCTGACTAAGTTCTCTTAACGTCCTGCTTCCCTCTTGCTTTTCCTTTTTAATCTATTTGGCGCTCTTCGCCTGCTCAGCAGCTCTGACATGGTGGCTTTGTGCCGCCACCCAGCCCTTTCCCTCTCTAGTCTTGTTGCTGACGGCTCGGTCGCCGTCCGCATATGAATAGTACTCCTCTCCTCGTCTCCGCCCTGTTTCCCCTTCATTTGTCGCCGCTTCCCGATGCATCCTCTCTTCTTGCTCATCTCTCTGCTTTTCATGTCGTCCTTCTCGATCCCCTCACTCACTCGCTCTCCTTCCGCCACACGCTCCTCTTCTTCTTGGACGGTTGCCCCTCTGCTTTCCGTGTCCCTGTCCTTTATTTGCCGCAGGCCGACCCTTGCGGCTGCACCACTCCACGCGTTCCTACGTAAATCCGTCGTCCAATTCAGTTCTGACTCGCCTATAAAGACGAAACTGCACCGTGTACATAGCGAATTATTCGTGTGTAGGACTCGTCTGTTTTGGCCAGTCGTTGTCACCGCATAGAGGTGCTATCGGTCGGCCATTGCTTGCGCGTCTCATTATGGTTAATAGCCGGTGTGTTCCTCGACGACACCCGCGTCGTTCGTTCATGCCGGGCCTACAGTAAACACTGCGGGTCCCCGGGTGTGCCCGTGAGTGTTGTTGGTCCTTACTGCCTGTCGTAGCTTCTCCGTCGTACCACCCCTTTTTCGTGTCGCTTGTGTTACTGTTGTTGGGACGGTGATCATCTAAACGAAACACATGCAGGGTTCTGTGTTTTGACACGACCTGCGCGCGTGCAATTACGTGGGTCTGTCTGAGAAGAGTTTCGCCAATTGATAGTTTGACGCAGAACCAGTAAGACGGCCCGTGTTCAAGATCTCACGCGCACAATGTGCTCTCGCTTTTGCAAGCCCCCTAATTTTGTTTCCGAAGGATCGAGTTGTCTGTGGCTGAGTCGTGGTCGTGCATTTCAATATTACATATATATTATATAATATATATATAATACCGTTTAGCTATTAGTATACACTTAATATCGGGTGGGTCGTGCTGTGTGCGGTGGTGTGGCTGTGTAGTGGTGTTATTGTCTGCGTCAATCTGTGGCCCAAAGGCTAAAATTTATGTCAAAGCAGCTTCCTTGCCAGTTTCAACCATGCGGCTTTGGGCCTCCTATTTAGTGCTTCCGCAATTATTAGTTTTATTCATGCTTTGTACGTGCTAGGTTTTTTCGTGTATTTGATAATACGCTTTATAGACATTGACCCATTAATGTATAGATTATTCCGCATGATTATATTGATTTACTCTCCTTTGATAATATATAACATCATATATAGTGTGTATATCTTACCGCAACTATTA